GTCTCAGCAATCTTGAGAAAGAAGTACAAAATAGGAGGGATGATAACAAATTATACTACAAAGCCTTTGTAATCAAAACAGCTTGGTATTAACACAAGAACAGGAATATAGATCAGGAGAACATAGCAGAGACCCCAGAAATCGATGCAAGCCATTATGCTCAATAAATATTTTAAAAATGAGGCAAGAGCATACAATAAAGACAGTCTCTTTAATAAAGGTTTGGAAAATGAAGTGTATTTTAATAAACACTGCCTTTATAATTATTCAAAGTATATGTACATTTTTTGGGACACCCTGTGTATCTGCAAGGTAACTTTATATAAATAGATTGGGCCTAAAGCTATTGATCTTTAATATCCATAAAAATTGAGTCAGTTTACACCCTCACAAAATGTATGAGGTTCTGTTTTGCTACAGTCTATCACAGAATGTCAGTAAACTTATGTGTGCCAAAAAAGAGCACTTCATGTTTATTTGGGTGAAAACATTTTAGAAATAGTGCATGTTTCCATCTTGTTTAGCTGAAGTATGCTCACTGTAATTTAACCTTTTCTTAATGATTTAGGTTCTTTATTAGAAACTATATTTTTGTAGGTTATAAAATCTGATGATCGTGTTTATTAAAATTATTAGTAGCCCAGTGCACGAAATTCGTGCATGGGGGTGGGGAGTGTTCCTCAGCCCAACCTGCACCCTCTCCAATCTGGGACACCTCAAAGAATGTTCTATTGCCAGTTTACAGGATCGGGCTTAAACTGGCAGTCGGACATCCCTCTCGCTGTGGCTCCTAACCACTTACCTGCCTGCCTGATTGCCCCCAACTGCCCCCTGCCACTGGCCTGCACACCCCCAAATGTCCCCCCTCGCCAGCTTGATCACCCCCACCTGCCCCCTCCCTTGCTGGCCTCCTTGCCCCCACCTTCCCCACTGGCCTGCTCGCCCCGATTGCCCCCCTGCTGGCCTGCTCACTCCAAACTGCCCCTCCCCCCCATTGTCCTGATCACCTCCAACTGACCCCCACTGACGGCCTGCTCGCCCCCAACTGGCCACCCTGTTGGTCTGCTTACCCCCACCAGCCTGATCACCCACAAACTGCCTTCCCCTCCTGGCCTCTTAACTGCCTCTACCTCGGCCCTGCCACCATGGCTTTTTCCAGAACGTCTGGACGGTCTCCCAGTCTAATAGGCATATTACCCTTTTATTAGTATAGAGGCTTGGTGCACAGGAGGGGGCCTGCTGGTTTGCCCTGAAGGTTGTCTGGATCAGGGTGGAGGGTCCCACTGGCGTGCCTGGCCAGCCTGGATATGGGGCTGATAGCTCTACGCAGGCTGGCCACAGCCCCCCGTGACCCAACCTCCCAGATGCTCCTTGCTTTTGTTTTTCAGTGCCTCTGAGCAGACGCCAGGGCAGGCTGGAAGCAGGTATCTAGGACTTATTTATCTTTTATAATTGAAACTTTGTAGCCTTGAGTGGAGGCCAGGGCCAGCCAGAGCAGGCAGGAAGCTTGGCTTCCTCCATTGCTGAGGGCAACCCAAGCCTCCTGCTTGCTCCAGCTCTGTGGCTGCCACCATTTTGGTTGGGTTAATTTGCATACTCGCCTGTGATTGGCTGGTGGGCATAGCTGGTGGGCATAGCAAAGGTAGTCAATTTGTATGTTTCTCTTTTATTAGATAGAATTCTTAAAATAAGAACAGATTTATGGTGGGGTCTTGAAGGTTTCTCCTGAGTAAAACATATGAGCTTTGGTATCTGCCCTAAACTTTTCATTTCCCACTTTCATGCTTTAGAACCTTTCCTGTAGATTATTAAAATAGCCGCCTCCTTTATTGTATTTGATTACTTGCACTGTACATTTATCCCATCTTAGATGCAAAGGTACAGAGATGAATCTCAAGGAGCTCACATATAAGTGGTAAAAATCAGAAGTTGTTAATATAGTGTGATAGGTATTGGTGTAGACAAGATGTTATGGGAAGAACCCCACAGGGAACTGGCCTTGGTTTGGTAATTAGCGAAGTGAAGGAATTCAACTCTTGGAAGTGACGGATGCTTTCATTTGAACCAAGTATCAAAGGATGCATAAAAGCAAGCTAGCTAGTGGGAAAGAGAGAGTATGTATAAGCATTCCAAGCAAAATAAATAGTGGAGGGAATTCAGGTACTGTAAAGAAACTTCTATAACATATGAGAAGTTTGGAAATATTCTTAAAGAGATAGTTGGTCATTTAACTCTGTATTCCATCCTTCCATACTATGAGATAGCTTTTTGAAACAATGTTATTGAACCTGAATTTGGATTTCACCTATATTTCTAGCTGTATCACTAGATTTCTCCATGCACTGACTGTGCCAGTTAAACAGAATGCTTGCTGTATCCAAAGATGCTGCTCCATCAGGACTGCAAGTCCTTCTCTCCCTTATCATGTCCGTAGAGATCTGCCTGCAAGGCTCAAATGTCACCCCCACCAAAGTGCTTCTCTGAACTTTTGTCTCCTATCACCCCTGTAGGTCAGTGATTTCAACCGATGTGCCACAAGAATTTTTAAGATATGCAATACCTGACCACTGAGTCAGGGGCACTGACCTCTTTTCCTTAAACTGTCGGATAAAAAAATGACAACAGCCGTGTATCATCTAGCAGAGTAATCGGAGATACTCAGACATCTTCTCTGATATTGAGTCAATATCCTATGTTGCTTCCTTAAGGATTTTAGAGGTGGCAGGGAGGATAGCTGGAAACTGATAAGGACAGGGGTTCCAGGTTCTATTTGTCGATTTAAAGTAGCCCTTGTATGTATCTCTACTTACTATCCTATAACATATATACTTATGGTTCCTTTTTAAAATGCTGTGTATTAACCTGTGAGCTTAATCAAAACCATGGCTATGATGCCCTAGCCAGTTTGGCTCAGTGAGTAGAGCATTGGTCTTTGGACTGAAGGGCTTCAGCTTCCCTTCTGGTCAAGGGGACTTGTCTCAGGTTGCAGGTTCAATCCCTGGCCCTGGTTGGAGGCAGCCAGTCAATGAGTCTCTATTGCATCAATGTTTCTCATCTCTTCCCCTCCCTGCCACACTCTCTCTAAAAATCAATGAAAGAATATCCTCGGCTAAGGATTAACACCAAGTAAGGCAAAATAATGTTATTAGCACCCAAGAAATCTTTCATACCTCTTTCTAATCATAGCCATGTTTGTTGTTAAGGGCATGTACCTTGGGTGCAGGCACATCCCCTGTGGAAGGTGTGCAGGAGGCAGCTGGTCAATGTTTCTCTCTTTGATGTTTCTAACATCCTATCCCTCTCCCTCTCTGTAAAAAATCAATAAAATATGTATTTTTTTAAAAAGGTAATGTGGGAGTATTTAGCCACAATATTTATAAACAAATCCTATACAATATCACATAGCAAAAATCTAGATCAACGATTTTTAACCTTTTTCATCTTATGGCACACAAACTACTAAAATTCTGTAGCATGCACAAAAATGTTTTGTCGATCTGACCAAAAAAAATAGGTATTAATTTGATTCATTCTCACTGAACAGCTATTGTTGTGTTGACTGTTGTTTTTTCTTACTTGACAATCTAAAAGAAAAGAGATCAGTGCTCTAACTACTCAGGTATTGCATATTTTAAAAGTTCTTGCAGCACACCAGTGTGATGAGGCTAGACTGTTGAAAAATCCCTGGTCTAGATTGTCTTATTTTAGGAAAGTCTAAAAAACAGTTTCCAGAAAGGGAAGTGGGGTGAGTTGAGGGATGAGGAACCTGATCCAATCTAGCACAGAGGGCCTCAGCCACCACCCATGCAACTAACCAGCAGAAACAATCAAGCCTAGGCACGGACCATAAGTAGCCAAAACCAGCTTTCAAGCCTTCCCCAGAGGGGCCTGAGTAAGTGGCTGTGAAGCTACATCCATTACCTACTGGCTGACTCTAGCTCCCACATCTTTATTCTTGTAAGCACAGAGCTGGCTGACAGCAGGAGCACCATAGAGCCTGCATATAGTAAATATGCAAAGTTTCTATTACCATAGCTGCTGCTCACACCACCATTGTTAACACATTGCCCTTAACCACAGGGTTCATGACAGCTACTTTGGCTTCACTCTGATGATAAGGACTAATGTTGACTGAGCTCTTATTTGCCAGGAAGTGTACCAAGCATTTTTTTTTTCTTTTTTACTTACAACACAACGATGCCAGCAGGCATGAACTACTATTACTAACTACTACTTACCGATAAGGAAAATGAGACTCAGAAAGATTGTTACTCACTCACAAGTCATTCAGTCAGGTGAAGAGCTAAAATTTGAAGCTAGAAGTTCTGAGTTCAGACAGAGCCCCACTCTTACCACTTATCTGGTACCACCTCTTCACCTGGTCTGCTAACATTTTATTACCAACTTTCCTCTATTAACTGAGTCCTCTCAACTCCCAGGCACAGTGATTCATCACAGTTCTCTGGGTATGACACTACAAGATTCAGAAGTTCTCATTTGTTGAAATCAGACCCAGGATCTACTGTCTCAGGCAGTGAGAATGATGGCACCCTTCTCTGCTGCTGAGAAGGACGGAGTTAGGAATAGCAGTCCACCCCAGGTCTCATGAGTATGAAACTTACAGGAAGTCCTATTCTAGGAAGAACCAGAATGTCCCCATTCTTGGCTGGCTTGGCAGTCCGTTTTCCCACCTTTACCTCTATGCACTGTGGTTTAGTTTGAAGTTTTATGTGTATATCTTTGATTTTCAAACTTCTATTTCCTGTTAATTCTATCTATTCCAAGAGATGACACATATGAAATTTACATTCATTAGAAGATAAAAGCAAGCTTTGAAATGAAAGAAAAATAACATTTGAGTAAACAGTCATGACATTTACATTCAAGTTCTATTGCAAGAAACATTTAAGGACCGTAAGTTTCATTAAATGATTCCATATTTTTGTTAAGATATATAAAAATACTTTCTAAAAATATGACAAAAGACAATGTAAAATTCGTATTATACAGAACATTTAAGTTCATCCTCAAATGTTCCTTTTTAATAATCTAACTGCAACTTTTAGGTCTAGAGGGAAAGAGTCATTTGAAACCTCCTTCTGTGACCACTGTTTACACATTTAAACTATGGGGAAGAGTCTATTAGAACTTAGCTTTTCAACTGTTTAAAATAAAAGCAAGACACAAATCAGTATGCAGTCAGATGTGATATGAGAGCCAAGACAGTTCTTAAAACTCCGAGTTGCATTAGGTAGAAACCACTCCAGAAACTCGTTTTCTTCTTCCTTCATTCCTATTGGTAATTCCAGAAGTCCATATCATGCTCCCTTAAGTTTCTTATTGTTATCTTCACATTATATACAGATCTCACAGTGCATTATACTCCACACATTTTGATGGATCTGTAGGAAAGTGCTTCTGGCAAATCGTCATTAACCTCTTCAATCCCTAAAAAAATAAAGGTTGGTTATGATACAAACTTTTCTTAATTGTCCTATACTCAATCCTGTTTACCAATATCCCCATTAAAATACTGCAGTGTGGCTCGGTGGAGCGTCACTCCAAGCACTGAATGGTTGCTGGTTCGATCCCAAGTCAGGGCACATACCCAGACTGTGTGTTGGATCCCCAGTCAGGGTATGGGAGGCAACCAGTTGATGTTTCTCTTAAACATTGTTGTCTGCCTTTCTCTCTTTCCATACTCCTCTCTTTAAAATATTTAAAAACAGAATTAATCAAAATAATTTTAATAAAATAAAATAAGGCAATCCCCAGCAATACTATTCAGATGTATAGAGAAATGTTTATTCATGTATGTATACACAAAGATATGAATGAGATGGTCATAGCAGAATTGTTCACAATAACAACAATAATAGCAAAAGAACCAGAAATAACCCAAATGTCCATCAGAGGAGAATAGATGAAAAAGTGTGCTCGCAAATGGAACATTTTACAGCAGTCAAAATGAATTAACTAGGCCTACATGAAACAGCTCAGCCCTTCACCAAGTTCCAGGAGAGAATTAAGCTCCACTGCCTAGCATAAAGCATCCATTGTACGTAATGAAACAGCTCCTTTCCTGTGTATCTAAAGGGTGCTACATATGTACCATCTTTAAAAAACATAATAGGCATTCCCAGCTGGTGGGGCTTAATGGTTGAGCATCAACCTATGAACCAAGAGATTGCTGGTTTAATTCTCAGTTTGGTTCACAAAAATTAAAACCACCCAATTTCTATCACAGTAATAAGACTAATGAAATCCATAGGTTGACTATGTTCAGGCCTATATTAGATATTGAATAGCTTGATACTTAATTATTATTACCCCCAAATTAATTTTCTGTTCTTAAAAGAAGAGCTTTCTGACATGGTGGAAAAGTTGAGTATCTATCTATATATATAAAAGCCTAAGCAACTGTTAAGACTGGTCGGCTGGTTGCTATGACACACACTGACCACCAGGGGGCACACACTCAATGTGTGCTCTCACAGTCAACCTCCCATGGCCATCCAACCTCTCACGGTCCCTACCCCTCAGCTGACCAGCCCCAGTTGTCCCTGATCAGGGTGGCCAGCCAACCTCTCACAGTCCCTCCCCCCTGCCAACCAACCTCCCATGGTCCCTCCACCTGGGGCGAGACAGCCCCAATAGGCTCCAATGGCCAGCCAGGCCAAGGGACCCCACCCATGCACAAATCCGTGCACCAAGCCTCTAGTGTGGCTATAACTTCACAACCCAAAACTAGAGGTGCATATCTGGAATCTAAGAAGGAAGGGTAAAAGGAACACCATGAAATCATTTTTTTAAATGCTAATATATGTGAATAACAGGTACCTGAAACATAATCAAACATTTAGAACTCTTAATTACTTTGTAATTACCTAAGTATTCAAACAATTCGTAAGTTCAAAATAATAAAACAAAAATTCCTGAAAAATCTCTTTGGCCCCATAGTAAGGAGATAACACAAATATAAATTATTTCTATGCATTGTTCTATAGAGTATTCATTCAACCACAAATATTCAGTGAGTACCCACCATAAAACTCTGAGGGTATAATAGTGAACTATATTCTTAACTTGTGGAACCAACATTAAATTATTGTGTAATAATGTAACATAAGTTATCATTAGGCTTTACAGTGGCCATATCATATTACTAATTTTATATTTATAGCCCCTAAATTACCCAAGTTTTCCTCTTATACAATGATCATATCATATATATATGCTTGAGAAACTAGGTTATTGGATCCAAATTTATTTATGCAATCTGTCCTTTTCTTTAGTTCGTCAATTTTTATGACAATTTCTTTTCTACCTTAGCACCTTTTAGCTTCTTGCTGTCTACAAATCTGATAAATATACCTCTCTGTATCATCATGAGTCAGTCATTAAAATGTTGACCAGGACAGTACTGAGGTCACTAAGAACTAATGGTGTATGTTACTAGCATGCACCAAAGTAGACATGGCTTCACTCACTTAACAAGCTATGAGTCATCTGATTGTATTGTCTGTCATGTCTATATCTGTCCACAAAAATATTATTGGGTTTAGGTCAAACACCTTCCCAAAGTTCAGATATAGTATGTTTGCCATTTTCCCTAACCATGTTGAGGACAAAAAGAATTTTTTTTTTTTTTTTAATGAGAAGGTAATAGTTAAAATGGATGAACAAGTAAGTGGGTAATGGTCACTTAACATTTGAGGTCTTGTTCTCCATCATGTCATCAGTTTGGTTCAAATAAACAAGTAAATAAACACTAGGTATACTTTTTAAAAAACAGTTTCTGGGGATGTACCATTATTTAAAAAAGAAATGCTCTTTAATTAAGATAATTTATCTAATTATATGAACACTTACACTATTGCTCTGACCAGTGTATAGCTGAACAAACTAAGCAAACTTAATCATTGGAATTGTTTTCTATTGGTAAAGCCCCAAACTTTCTTTTCCTAACTAAAAGCTTTTTGCCTTCAATTCAGTCACTGGTGGTTATTTGAATAAATGAAAATGTCCTAAAATTTTTGTAAGTATATTTGAATTCTACAAATTCTACAGTTTATATCAGGGAATCAGATAGCAATCATTTTAAAAAATATATATTTTTATTTATTTTAGAGAGGAAGAGGGAGAGATAGAAACATCAATGATGAGAGAGAATTGTTGATCAGCTGCCTCCTGCACACCCCCTACTGGGGATCAAGCCTACAACCCAGGCATGTGCCCTTGGCTAGAATCGAACCCAGAACCCTTTAGTCAGCATGCCTACACTCTATCCACTGAGCCAAACAAGCTTTTAAAATGCTAATATATGTGAACTAGAGGCCCAGTTCACAAAATTCATGTGTGTGTGTGGGGGGGGAGGGGAGTGAGGGGAAGGAAGGGCGGTGTTCCTCAGCCCAGCTGCACCCTCTCCAATCTGGGACCCCTCGAGGAATGTCCTACCTTGATCAGGCCTAAATGGGCAGTCGGACTTCCCTCTCACAACCCAACTGCTCGCCTGCCTGCCTGCCTGCCTTTCTGATTGCCCCTAACTGCTTCTGCCTGCCAGCCTGTTCAACCCCTAACCACTCCCCTGCCAGCCTGATTGATGCCTAACTGCTCCCGTCAGCCTGTTTGCCCCTAACTGCCCTCCCCTGTAGGCCTGGTCACCCCTAACTGCCCTCCTCTGCAGGCTTGATCGCCCCCAACTATCCTCCCTTGCAGGCCTGGTCCCTCCTAACTGCCCTCCCTTGCTGGCCTGATAGCCCACAACTGCCCTCCCTTGCAGACCTGGTCCCTCCCAACTGCCTCCCCTGCTGGCCATCTTGTGTCCACATGGGGGAAGTCATCTTTGACCACATAAGGGAGCCATATTGTGTATTGGAGTAACAGTCAAGTTGCATATTATTATTTTATTAGATAAGGATTAGACAGGATAGAGGCCTGGTGCACGGGTGGGGGCGGGCTGGTTTGCCCTGAAGAGTGTCCCGGATCAGGGTGGGGGTTCCCTTGGGACATTGGGTGGCCTGGGTGAGGGGCCTGTGGTGGTTGGCAAGCCAGCCACACACCCCAGCAACCCAAGCAGAGGCCCTGGTATCTGGGATTTATTTATCTTCTATAATTGAAACTTTGTAGCCTTCAGCAGAGCCAAACCTCCTGTTTGCTCTGTGGCTGCAGCCATTTTTATTGGGATTTGTTTATCTTCTATAATTGAAACTTTGTAGCCTTGAGTGGAGTTCAGGGCCAGCCAGGGCAGGCAGAAGCTTGGCTTCCTCCATTGCCAGGGAAACCCAAGCTTCCTGCTCTCTCTGTGGCTACAGCCATCTTGGTTGGGTTAATTTGCACACTCGCTCCTGATTGGCTGGTGGGCATGGCTTGTGGGTATAGCGGAGGTATGGTCAATTTGCATGTTTCTCTTTTATTAGATAGGATAAGGCCTAACACAAATGAACATTTATCACTTGGAATTAAAATGCAAACAAAAAAGATAATCCATGAATATGGTAATGATTGAACAAATGTGAAAGCACTTTATGCATTTTAAGTGAACTTTAATTAAAAAAAAATTTTTTTTTAAATATATTTTATTGATTTTTTTTACAGAGAGGAAGAGAGAGGGATAGAGAGTTAGAAACATCGATCAGCTGCCTCTTGCACACCTCCTACTGGGGATGTGCCCACAACCAAGGCACATGCCCTTGACCGGAATCGAACCTGGGACCTTTCAGTCCGCAATCTGACGCTCTATCCACTGAGCCAAACCGGTTTTGGCAAATTTTAAATTTTAAGTAAACTTTCAGAATATCATCTTCAAGTTTTAGAATTAACATCCAGCAAATGCCATTACACAGATACAACCTGGGATTCTTGACAACTTGGCAAATGCTAAGAATAGAGTTGATTTTTCCCACTACAAAGAAAAACTGAACCAATAACAGTGCACATGAGTTCATGTGAGGTATATACAACTAAGAAAATAAACTCTAAACACTTTAAAGTTATTTGTATAGAGAAGTATTGTTGTTATATGTTACTTAAAAATTATGTTCATTAAAGCCAAATTTATATTATTCAGATCCTTAATCCTAGATGATAAATCTACCTTAAAAATACCAACATTGCAAAATACTCTAAATTTACTGCTCATCACTAAACTTCTACAGCAAACTACAATAGTTTTATTTCAATGCTAAGGTAACTAAAAGCATAACCTTATAGCCTGTCTTGTATCATATATGAAACTTTAAAAGTTTTTCTTTTATTCAGTGAAGATGTCTTAATCACAAGTATTTATAAAAAATGAACTTAAGCCCTGACTGGTTTGGCTCAGTGAATGGAGCGTCGGCCTGCAGCCTGTGGACTGAAGGGTCCCGGGTTCAATTCTGGTCAAGGAAACATGCCAGGTTGCGGATTCAATCCCCAGTCCAGGGTGTGTAAGAGGCAGCCGATTAATGATTCTCTTTCATCATTAATGCTTCTATCTCTCTCCCTCCCATTTCCTCTCTAAAATCAATAAAAATATATTTTAAAAAAAGAAATGAATTTAAATCCTATCATGCTATATCCTATTTGCTATAATTCCTCTGCTCTCAAAATATACAGTTTTGAAATTGGAGAATGTTAACCTCCAGAGAAATGTCCTTTCCATAAAAACTGCTTACCTGAATATATTTCCGCTGTGTTTCATCATTTAAAACATGTGCAACATGCTTGGAGAAAATCTTTTCCCTACCCGTTCTGGCATGGATACCAACCATAGTGACACCAATGGGCCATGGGGCATTTCCAATGGCCATCTGAAGATAAGCATCATTAGCCTAGAAAGAAAGATTAAGAAAAGATCAGAAAAGCAGAAATAATGTATTGGTCCACATTTTTATTTCAAGTATTTCACAACTCTTGATGCTGTAATTTTCATCCATTTCTTAAGCATGTTGAAAATATTACCATCCTCCTTATTCAAACAAAAGAAATTAAAACATGGAATGACTGTCCTGCCCAGGCCACAAATATCCATGGAAAAACAGAACCAAAGCTAACCCTGTGAGTAAAAAGACAAACATTCCCCTGCAGCCTCTGTGCACTGACAGTTGATGCATTTCAGATCTGGAATTATCAGGTAGGTAATTTGATGTACTGACAAACTCTAGTATGGGTCTCCTTTCTGCCTAGTCTTCTCAACGGGTGGTCACACAGAAAACAGAGTCTGACTAGTTTTCCATAATCCAACCTGAAACCATGTCCACTCCCTGAACAGCAGTCAGACCTCTGAGACAGCGGGAGCTCTGCAGGCTGGGACTGCTAAACAGGGTATAAGGCCCACGGAAGATGGTAAACAAAGATTAAATACTGGCCCAGGAGTCTAATAGCTAAAGGATGAGATTGGCCCTCCAAACCTCCCACCTGGCAAGAACCTTAAAATAAAAGCTACAAAATATAAAGACAGAAACCAATGAAGACAAATAGCTACTTTTCTAAACCAAGCCTGGCGATTTGTGAAGAGGGAAAAGAAGTAGGAAAACAAAATATAAAGCAGTTAAATTCTAAAAGACTCTGAGGGTCTCAGAGAAGCCTACATAGCCAGGCCTCAAAGAGATTTTAATTTGAAAACATCAAACACCTATGTGTTTGATATGCGGTATTGATTTTTTTTAAAATCAGGTACTACAAATGGGTTAACTGAAAGATCATTTCTATCCTAAAGATAAATTTGAATTTGCTTTATTCAAATTTTGTAACTTTTCCCGCCCAGTCTCAGTCTGAACACACTCCATCATCTGGTTTCCAGAACTCAGATTGCGCAGTGGTCTTGTCATCATCGACCAGGGCTAACAGTTCAGCGGAAGAGGTCTCCCTAAGTCTCCCTCATCTCTAGCCTAATGGGTTGCTCATTTCTCCATCCCGCTCCTCGATTCACCTGACCTGTTATAATCCTCTTAGGCTCTGGGCAAATGTCGCTGCCAATTATATAACGGGCCCAGTCACATAAGGAAAATACTGTGGGTTCATCTGGGGGCTGCATGGGGGACCTGGGGACACTCCTGCCCTACGACCCTCACTGCAGCACCCCCATACCAACCTCCTGCTCCCACTTTTCAACCCCTGCCACCCCCTACTGGCCTAACTTCTCAATTTTTTTAAACTTAATTTTAAAAGGGCATATATACATTTTTATCACTGATTCCCATGTATGTTAATTTTAATACTTGATATTAACTGAAAATTTCCAATATTTAGTTTCCCTAAATGTCCAAAGAAAACTGCTCAAATAGGTTATTTCTTGGTTCTTTCTGTAGTTTACACAACATAAACTTGCACTTGATTCTCATATGTGAGAATGAGAAATGTAATAATAGGAAAGGCAAGTGATCTAAATGCTTTCTGCAGTGATGTGACCTAACCATCCATTCCAAATCAGTCCTTAGTAAGCAGCATGCAATTAACAGAATCTATCCAAGAATAAAGTTTATAGCCATAAAACAAAAGCATTTTCTTTGAAGAAACTAACTGGCTCTCCTCAGGAGGGAATAAAAACAATACCTTAGGTTTATCAGCATGAGGCGCTGATCAAGGAGACCACCCAATCACCCAGGAATGCCAGCGGTCCCTTCTTGTGAATACAGATACTCAGAGCACAGAAATAAGCAATGTCATTCCCACATTTCTGTCAGGACCTGTCTCCTGCTCTGGAACTGTCACTCTAACTGCACTGAAATTCTTATCTGCTACTCGCTTGGGAGGTACAGCCACCCGAAGCCTCCTCTTCACCCTCAGCTTATGGCCCACCAAGCAGTGTCCTTTGCTGGGGCACTAGGCCCTTCTCTTCTTGGTCCCTCCTCCAGCTGACAGCCTTCCACTCTCTCCTTTCTAAACTCTGCCCAGCACCACTTGGACACCAGAGCTCTTCCTCATGCCACCTCCTCCAGAGCCTACCCAGGAGGAAATCACTGCAACAAGGGAAAAGTCTTCCCCTACAAAGGGTCTGCTACTGCTGCAGTCATGAAACCCGGGAGATGAGCGCTAGGAGCCTGACTTGGAACATTTCTCATAGAAACACATAAAAAGGGTGGTCAAATTCCACTGTATCATTAGTACAACACTTTAGCTGTATTATGAATTAAGTTGATATTTATAGCATTTTTTCTATGGGAAATTTTGTTCCAAGCTATAACCAACAATCTACAAATTTCTAAATTCTGTCCCACTTGTGAAATGTACCTTGCCCACATCTAGTACATGATCTTAAGAATTTTTACACTTATTTTTTAAATGACAAAAAATATAGTTTGGTCTGAAAGTTTAACATTGAATGCCCCACGATAAAACTGACAATACATAAGAAAATAAAAGGTTTTTGGTTTTGGTAGATTTTGTTGTTAATCCTCACCCAAGGCTATTTTCCATTGATTTTTTTTTTTTTTTTTAAGAAACTCAAAGGGAGAGAAGGAGGAAGGTAGGGAGGGAGGGAGGAACACTGATGTGACAGAGACATCGATTAGTTTCCTCTGCACAAGCCAGGACCAGGGCTGGGGAACAAACCTGCGGTGGAGGTATGTACCCTTGACTGGGAATCAAACCCGAGACCCTTCGTTGTGCAGGCCAATATTTTACCACTGAACCACACTAACCAGGGCAAAAGATTTTTGTTTTTTAACTACTAATTCATTTTACATTTCTTCTTCAGTTTCCTATGTAATACTCTCCCACACTAAATGAAATATAATGTTCACAACATAGACAGACAAATAACCATACTTCCAATGCACAGCATGATAATGTACCTTCACATATTCTCTCTGTAACATGAATTTAATAATATCTGTTATGGATTCTTTAATATCAGCAGGAAGATTCTGGAAAAGAAAAAAAAAGCATAATTAAATTTGGAAGCTACTCTGTAGTTACAGACTGCATTTATTCTAATTTTATATGTTCTATTTTTTAAAATTAGTTAATAAAAGCATTTTTTGAGAAAGCTTACCCTTTTCCGCAGCTTTCTGAAAAGGGGTCTGAGATAGGACTCGGTCTGTTTCTGAGTAGCACTGTTCAGTTTGCCCTGCACACTGCGCTTCACATAATCTTCTCTGGCATTCAATTCTTTAGCCCAAACACCAAGAAGAAACTAACGAGAGTGAGTAAAATTAGACTACAATGCCATCCAGTTGTTGAACAAGTTTAAAGTTCCCCAACACACAAAACAGTTAACTGTCATCCTTAGAATAAACTTCTCAAATGATTACAATACCATCCACTAATATTTAATGAACTATGCTTATTCTGTCATATGTTTTGAAGAAGCGCTTTTGGCAATTCATAAACTTTCCTATTCTCTATATATCCTAACTCAAAGATAATCCATTTCCCCTAAAAATATTACCTGAGTAACTATCTGATGGAAATAAACTTTTATTTGCATTTTTATTACATAAAGTTTACCTAGATCATCAGCCATATTACCACATGTGCTGTGATATTTAATGAATCCCCCAAGTATCTTATTATAGTATTTGGACTTTCTACTTTTACAGTAGAGAAAATAGTTCAATTAAAAATTCCCACCAAAGTGCCTAACTAAAAGAGCAGGAAAGAAATAAAAGAAACAGAAATAAAAGAAACTTTGACTCATTCCTTCCCCTATCCCACCCTGGAAAACTACCACAATGCCCCTTGGGTTTACCTATGTACAGAGCACCCTTCCAGAGGCAGTTACACAGTGAAGGCTGAGGAGAACACACTCCCCTAGTGGCAATCCCTGTGTAATCCTATAAATTCTCTCAGAGAAAATTTTGTTCATATTACCCTGTTCCCATGCCCTATCTGGTTCCCTGTCATTTCCTCAATCGATGCAGAATCTTGATGACTAATATGTTGTATTTAAATTGTAAATGCAAGTAAAAGCATATCTTGCTTTAAATCTCATGGCCTGACCACAAATAATTTATTTGTGAAATGAACCTGGGATTTGCACACTCTCTACCTAAAATACTAACGACAGAAATGCTGAGAAGATGGAATGAGCATATCATAGGAAGAATAACAGCTATCTGTAGAAATGAGAAATGAAATCCCTAAAAAGTTACTGATGTATTTGCTTTTATCACTGCCAGTGTCTTCTTACCTCCTTCCTTTTGTTACTATTATCATCACCTCTCATAAAAGGTTCTAGAACTCTACCCTCACTACACTCCTTCCTAGAGTGCTTTAAAAAATGTAGAACTCCCCAAACATCTTGTTCATCCCATTGCTGAAAACTTTTTTCTTTGTGTTTACGTTAATAAGTCAGTTTTTTTAAACTGCCAAAGGAAAGAAATATACTGTCTTTGATTAACCTCTATATCCATGGACATAGCAATATCATAAACAATGTACATGCCAGAAATGTTTATTGAAATTTCCTTTCCCAGACTTTAACTCTTTTTTTTTTCAGACTTTAACTCTTAATAATCCAAAATCATAAAAATATTTAACTAACCAAAATGTCCTTTCTTAGCTTAAAAGTACATACCTTAAGGAATTTGGTAATGATGTCCATGTCTTTATGATCATCACCTTTTCCTAAGGATTCTCCCAATGCCTGAAGAAAAATAATGCTCCTGCTCATTAGTAAAGAGCAACAAATGAATATATCTTATCAACACCAGTCTAAACATGGCTTTTTATTACACAGACTGTCCAATTTCTACTTAAAAACCTAATGGAATTTCTAAATAAAAATTTTAAAAAACGCTAATTTGTCATTTAAATTTTGAAAGCATGTTCTCTTTTATGAATCAAAAGCCTGAAGAAGGGGAAAGGGGAGTGATTGCTAATGCATATGAGATTTCTTTTCAGGGCAACAAAATTGTTCTAAAATTAGACTGTGATAATTGTACCATTCCATGAATGTATTAAAAACCACTGAACTGTACACTTTAAAACAGTAAATTGTGTGAGATGCAAATTTCTCAATAAAGCTGTTAAAAGGAAGAAAAAACAGCACACTCAGAACTGGTTGCTCACATCAGTTATTCCAATAAAATTTAGAGTTCATAGATAGGTGCTGTGGTGGTGGCTGGGAGAGTACAATTAAAAGGACATCCTCCTCAAATATGACATTAGCATGTGCAAGAGCAAGGAATAAAAGGAAAAAAACAAAACAAACACTTCACACTTTATTAAGAGCTTTAAACTAAGCCATATTGTTTGTTGAGGTATATATTAAATAATATAATACTGCTCTTTAGTTGAGATTACATATATCACTCCACATTCAACACTCTAACAAAAATTAGAAAACAAAAGATTGTCAGTGTTGACAGGGTTTAGGGATATATGACACACCCTACTGGTAGGATACAGACTAATACAGCCATCTGGAGAGCAACTTAGCATTACTTAGACAAGTTAATTGTACATAAAGCGATCCCACTTCTGAGTCCATAGGGGTAATGTACAAGAGAATTCTTCACAAAGCTGCTTGTGGTAACAGGGATCTGGGAGCAATTTAGTTGACTATATTATGAGGGAACACAAGGCAGTGATTGCCATAAGATATAAAGTATTGCCGAAGCCGGTTTGGCTCAGTGGTAGAGCGTCAGTCTGCGGACTGAAAGGTCCCGGGTTCGATTCCTGTCAAGGGCATGTACCTTGGTTGCGGGTACATCCCCGGTAGGGGTTGTGCAAGAGGCAACTGGTCGATGTTTCTGTCTCATCGACGTTTCTAGCTCTCTATCTCTCTCCCTTCCTCTCTGTAAAAAATCAATAAAATATATTATAAAAAAAAAAAAGTATTAGCAGTTAACAGCAAAGGTTTAGACATATATAAGGCATCAAGGATGGATTTTAAAAACAGTTCAAAGTATGAAAAGGAAAAAGCAGAAAGAAGAATTTCACAGTACAATACTATTTATGGAAATAAAAAACACATGCTCACAAAACACTACTAATTATAAAAGATCAACAACAAATAAAATAATGCACATCAAACACATTCGAATAACTACTTTTAATGGCAAAAAGTAGGGAAATGTGAGTAGAGAATGAGAAAAAAGAGACTGAATGAATGAAAGCATGATAGAGTAATCTGATGAACTCAACCATTTGTTGCAGGGAATGAAAGGTGTAACGGGAGATAAGGTGGATGTAGAAATTACCTCTAACTCTTCAATTGTGGTGTTTTCTTCATGAACTTTCAAGTCATTCTGTGTGTCTTCCTCTCCAGGTTCTTGACCACCCACAAGTTCATTGAGGTATTGCTGGTCAATCTTATCCAAAGCTGCTTTCAGATCATTCCTCAATCCCTGAGAAAGATGAAAAATTATACCGAGTTTGAAATTTCACCGATCTTTCACTTGATTTTTCACTAACACTAGGTATAATTCATCTCAGACTACCAATTAAGAGGGCCGAGTAGGTAAACACTGTACTTGCCTCCTCCCATGACCATATCAAAATTACAATTTAAATGGTACAACAACCATTACTGAGAACCACCTGAAGGCTACTATGAACTTCAAAAACCTTTGAAATGTCCACAGTATAAAACTAGTGTCTCCTCTATATCATAGGCTAGCAACTACATTTCTAACACGAGCAAATTCCACATTCTATTAACACTCAGTCTGTGACTGTTTAATAAAAAGGAAAGCCTTAAACCCTGGCTGCTGTCACTCAGTGGTTAGAGCGTTAGCCCGAGCACCAAAGGGTCGTGGGTGCAAGTCCCAGTCAAGGCCACATGTCCGGTTGCAGGCTCAACCCCCAGCCCCATTCAGGGTACGTGCAAGAGCCAACCAACTGCTGTGTCTCTCACATCAATGCTTCTCGCTCCCTCCCTCCCTCCCTCCCTCCCTCCCTGTTCCTCCTTCCCTTTCATTCTCTAAAAATCAATGGAAAAAATATCCAGGGGTGAGTATTAACAAAACAAAACAAAATAAAAAGAAATTTAAAAAAAAAACGCTTTAAACTGGACCCTTAATTTTCATCATATACCAAAATTAACTTAAAAGGGATAAAAAAAACACCTAAATCCAAGAGCTAAAACTATAAAATGTTTAGAAAACATAGGGGGAAAGCTTCATGACATTGGATTTGGAAATGATTTTTTATATAATATACAACAGCAAAAGCACAGGCAACAACTACAATAAATATAGAAAAGTTAAAAAGTTTTATGCATCAAAGATAGTATCAATAGAATGAAAAGATAACCCAAGGAAAGGGAGAAAATATTTGCAAATCACATATCTGATAAGGATTGATATCCAGAACACATAGAAACTCCTACAATTTAAAAACAGAAAACAACTAACAGGATTAAAAATGGGCAAAGGCCTTAAATAGAACAAGACATGCAAATGGCCCATAAGCAAATGAAAAGATGCTCAACATCACCAGTAAGTAGAGACCACAATGAAATATCAATTCACACCCATTCAAATGGCTGTTATTATTACTTTTTTAATCCTTTTTTTTAAATATATTTTATTGATTTTGTACAGAGAGGAAGGAAGAGAGATAGAGTTAGAAACATCGATGAGAGAGAGTCATCTATCAGCTGCCTCTTGCACACCCCCTACTGGGGATATGCCTGCAACCAAGGTACATGCCTTGACCGGAATCGAACCCGGGACCCTTCAGTCCCCAAGCCGACGCTCTATCCATTGAGCCAAACTGGTCTCGGCAAAATGGCTGTTATTAAAACAAACAAAAAACACAGAAAATAACGGGTGGTGGCTAGGTGTGGAAGCCACGCCAGGTCCCCAGAGAGTCAAGGCCGGTGGGAGCACAGAGGCCTTGTCATTTACGCCAGAATAGCCAGAGGCCGCTCTGAGCATAAGCCTAAATGGGATGTTCAAGGACCCTGAGCCTGGGAATCCTAACCAGACCAAGATACCATGAGTGGCTGCAAGGCCATAGCACTCTGATAGTACACTGTGTCCTTCTGTAGCCAATATGATTGATGTAACTATTGGCACAAAGCCTTCTTTGTCTAAATAGTGTAAAAGTAGGTTACTGACCAGCTACTGGGCTGGAGTATGGAGAGAGAACAGCTAGGATGGAGTGTGTGAAGAAGTCTGCTACAGAAAGCAGTTGGGCAGGACAGGAGAAGCTGCTGAGCCAGAGAGCTCAGGTACCACTATGATGTGAGGTGGTGAGTCTAGGAGGCAGCGTGGGGCTGCTTAGATAATAGCTGTGGGTACAGAGACTGATGCTACTTTATGGGAGATCTACCAGCTGGTGTTTGACTGCCTGCCTAAATGGACTTTCCCGTGAGGACTGTTCTTGTCTGATGGCTACTGGCTTCTGCAATCAAGACTCATTCTTACATACCCACAACCTCTCATGGCTTCTCTGTCTAAGACCTGGCATTCAAGGAGGTCCAGCCCGAGGCAGGAGGGCTCAGACCCACCACCTGTATCTAGTGAGCAGAGGATAAGGAAGGAACTTGGATTAAGTTCCCAACAGTTAGTACATTGGTAAGGGTTCAAGCAGGAACCAGCCTTGGCATAGTTGAATGGGAAAATTTAGAAAACTATATGCACTCAAAGCCACTCAGAGCAACAGAGCTCGTGCCGGGTTCTGGCACTGCTCGGACACTAGCATATAAATATGCTATAAATAAATGGGACACTTTGCACTGCTGGAAATGTAAAATGGTAGAGCTGCTGTGGGAAACTGTTGGCAATACCTCAGAAAGTTAAACATACCACACCAAGACACGTTATAATTAAAATGTCAAAAAATAAACACAAGGAGAGATCTTAAAAGGAACAAGAGGGGGGGAAATTATTATATACAATGAAACATGCATAAGACAATCAGCAGGTTTTTCAGCAAGAACTTTGCATATTGATGTTTCTTTCCTTCTGTCTCTCTCCCTCCATACAATGGAATATGTTTTAGCCTTTTTTTTTAAAGGAAAATTCTGCCCTGGCCAATTGCTTAGTGGTTAGAACACTGGCCCATAGACTGAAGGGTTGTGGGTTTGATTCCTTTTCAAGGGCATGTACCTGGATTGTGGGTTTGCTCCCTAGCCCCAGTCAGGGCATGTGCAGGAGGCAATCAATCAATGTGTCTCTCTTGAACAGCAATGTTTGTTTTTTTCTCTCTGTCTCCACCTTCCTCCCTTCTACTCTCTTTCAATGGAAAAAATATATCCTCAGGTGAGGATTTTTAAAAAAGGAAATTCTGACACATGCTACAACATGGATGAACCTTAAAGGTTTTATGTTAAGTTAGAAGACTGGTCCAGATGACCTTAACCACTCACCTAACTGCAATCACATGCAAGATCGTGAGCCAAACACTGGCAGCTTAGCCCAATCAAACCACAGAACTGTGGGAGATAATAATAAATTATCTCGCCGGAACCAGTTTGGCTCAATGGATAGAGCGTCGGCTTGGGGACTGAAAGGTCCCGGGTTCGATTCCAGTCAAGGGCATGTACCTTGGTTGCGGGCATATCCCCAGTAGGGGGTGTGCAAGAAGCAGCTGATCAATGACTCTCTCTCATCGATGTTTCTAACTCTATCTCTCTCCCTTCCTCTCTGTACAAAATCAATAAAACATATTTTAAATAATAATAATAATAATAAATTATCTTAAGTTACTACGTTTTAGAAGGATTTGTGACAGTCATAGATGACTGAAAAATATTTTATAGTAATAAATTCTTTTAAGCTACTAAGTTTTTGGTGGTTTGTTGCATAACCATAAATAACTACACCTGTTTCTAAGTAATTGATAGAGCAAGTAGGTAAGTTAATAAAGATTCAGAATCTCTGAACAACACTATTGTAAATGGAATTTATCCCAAAGCATAAAAAATAAAATAAAACATTTTCAAAAGCCCATGGAATATTAATCAAAAGAGACCATATGCTGAGCCATAAAAAATATCAGAACTCTAAATGTAAAAGTTAAAACTGCTAAGCTTAAAAAAAACAAACCAAAAAAAAAACAACCAGAAGACTAAAAAGGTCTTTAAGACCTTGGGAAAGGCAAATGTTTTTTAAGTAAAATACCAAAAGCAATAATCATAAAACCAAAAGCTGATAAAGTGGACTTCACCAAAATCTAAAACTCCCCCCCAAAAGAAACGAATAAGAGAACAGGTAAACTGTAGACTAGGACAAAATAGTCACAAAATATATATCTGTATCTCACAAAGGAATTATATCCAGAATAAATGAAGAACTTCTACAATTCAAAATAAAAATACAAACAACCTAAATAAAACATGAACAAAAACTTTTAATACACAATGCACAGGGGAAAATATAGCCTATAGAAGTCCATGAGAAGATGCTCATAATCTTTAGTTATTAGGAAAATGTGAAAACAACTACAGTGAGATACTTGTATTACACATACAAGAAAATTGTTAAAATTTTAAAGACTAACAATAAAAATGCTGATGGCATTTGGAAATATTTGGCATTTCTGAAAAAGGTAAGCATACATTTACTCTTACTATTCAACAATTACACTTCTCCATAATTATCCAAGAGAAGTAATATAGGATCAAAAAAGGTTTGTATAAGAATGTTCAGAGCAGTTTCAATCATTACAGCCCAATGTTGAAAACATATTACAGTATGTTTATAAGAATGAATACCATCAGCAATGAAAAGGAACAGACTACTGATAACCGCAATAGCATGGATGAATCTAAAAAATGCTTTGCCGATCAAGAAGCCAGACACTATGACTTCATCTATAAAAAATAGCAGAACAAGCAAAATTAATCCATGGTGATAGGATTTTAAAAAGTGGTTGCCAGAGAAACCAAGATGGCAACATAAGTAAACACCTAAACCACTGCCTCGCACAACAATTTCAAAACTACAACTAAAAAACAAAACATCTATCACCCAGAACCATGGGAGAGCTGGCTGAGTGGAAGTTCTACAACTAGAAGGAAAGAGAAAAGAGCACTGAGATGTGTACCAGCGCTGAAAAGCTGAGGTAGGGAGGTGCATGAATTGGGCTGCCGGCTGGTATCTGGGTGTGCTACTTCTTTCAACCTGAAGGGGGAGACAAGCTCCTGATTACTCAGCATTTCAGGAGAGAAGCTGGGGACCCAAACTCCTACAAAGAAAAGCTGGACTGTCTGTCATCGGGTCAGAAAGTGAGAGGAACTTTCTTGCAGAGGTGCATGCAGGAATCATTGTTTACTGCACTGGGGCGCAGGATGTAGGGAAGTGGAAACGCAGAAAGGCAGAGAAGGCTGACTGGCAGCCATCACTTTTTGCCACACCCTAGTCTAGTGATTCTCTGAGACCCCACCCCAAACCCACCCAAGCAGCAGCTTTTGCATATAAATGGCCTGCCCTATCACAGCTTAACCAAACAAACTGCAGCTCATGTCAGATAGCTCCAAAACTTCCAAACCCCAAGCAAAAAGTAAAAAACTGTAGTTCTTGCTGTAGCTCCAACTGGGAGGCCTGAGACAGTAGCTGACTTGCACCCCATTGGAGATCCAGAAGCTAGTATATCTACTGGTCAGTGTGAGACAACACCAGATTTCAACTACTCACATCCATAAGTGACACACTCAAGAGCACCAAAGCCCCACTGAAGCAAGTCCTGCCCCATAAGCGTGTCTCCAGCACAGCAGTTCTTCCATTATAGACACAGCGGATCCTCACAGCCAATTGGCCTGGAGGTCAATTCCTCCCAGTGACACCAACAACAATCAAGACTTAACTACAAAAGTCTGTACACACAGTCCACAAAGGGGTACACCAGGAGTGTCCACCTCAGGTAACTGGGAGGCTGACCCCGTGAGCCATACAGGACACCTAGCACACAAAGCCACCCTACCAATTCAGGGAAACAACAAAAATGTGGAGACAAAGAAACAGATCACAAATAAAAGAAATGGAGGAAAACAAACAACTGGATATAGAGTTCAAAACCATGGTTATAAGGTTTTTCAAGAATTTCCTAGAAAAGGCCGATAAATTCAATGAGACCCTTGAGGATATGAAAAGAACCAACTAGAAATTAAACATACACTAATTGAAATAAAAAATATTATACAGACACCCAACAGCAGACTAGAGGAACGCAAGAATCAAGTCAAGGATTTCAAATACAAAGAAGCAAAAACTCAACCGGAAAAACAAAAAGAAAAAAGAATCCAAAAATTTGAAGATAGTGTAAGAAGTCTCTGGGACAACTTCAAGCATACCAACATCAGAATTATGGGGGTTCCAGAAGAAGAGAGAGAGCAAGATACTGAAAACCTATTTGAAGATATAATGACTGATCATTTGTACACTCGCTGCTGGGGTCGGAGGTCAGAGTGAGCTTCTCGGGGACCACAGGAGGAAGATGGTGGTGGAATCGCACATCACCCAGGAGGAAATTAAGAAGGAACCGGAGAAGCCAATCGACCGGAGAAGACTTGCCCGCTGCTGCTGCTGCGCATCTTCACCACCACCAACGGGCGCCACCACCGCATGGACGAGTTTTCCCGCAGGAACGTGCCATCTAGCAAGCTGCAGATCTACACCTGATGGATGCAACCCTGAAGAACTGACTAGTTTAGTAAAAGAAGTCTACCCAGAAGCTAGAAAGAAGGGCACACACTTCAACTGTGCAACTGATTTTACCGATATTAAAAGACCTGATTATCGGGTGAAGGAGACTGACAGCATCATGTCCAAGAGAAAGGGAACTGATGATTCTCATGTCCAGGAGAAAGGGAACTGATGATTCCATGACACTGCAGTCCCAGAAGTTTCAGATAAGAGATTATGTGGACATAGCAATCACCCCTTCGAATTGGGCATGACCTCTTTCAGGGCGCATGAGGCCATATTAAATTTTATTGACAAAAATGAAGATATGATGACTGAAAACTTCCCCCACCTGGTGAAAGAAATAGACTTATAAGTCCAGGAAGCACACAGAACCCCAAAAAAAAGGAATCCAAAGAGGACCACACCAAGACACATCAAAATTAAAATGCCAAGAGCAGCCGAAACCGGTTTGGCTTAGCGGTAGAGCGTCGGTCTGCGGACTGAAGGGTCCCTGGTTCGATTCCGGTCAAGGGCATGTACGTTGGTTGCAGGCACATCCCCGGTGGGGGGTGTGCAGGAGGCAGCTGGTCGTTGTTTCTCTCTCATCGATGTTTCTAGCTCTCTATCCCTCTCTCTTCCTCTCTGTAAAAAATCAATAAAATATATTTAAAAAATAAATAAATAAATAAATAAAAATAAATAAATAAAATGCCAAGAGCAAAAGATAAAGAGAATATTAAAAGCAGCAAGAGAAAAACAGTTAGTTACCTACAAAGGAGCACCCATATGATAGTCAGCTGATTTCTCAACAGAAACTATGCAGGCCAGTTGGGAGTGGCAAGAATTATTCAAAGTGATGAATAGCAAGAACCTACAACCAAGATTACTCTATCCAGCAAAGTTATCTTTCAGAATTGAAGGTCAAATAAAGAGCTTCACAGACAAGAAAAAGCTAAAGGAGTTCACCACCACCAAACCAGTATTATATGAAATGCTGAAAGGTATTCTTTAAGAAGAGGAAGAAGAAGAAAAAAGTAAAGATAAAAATTATGAACAACAAATACATATCTATCAACAAGTGAATCTAAAAATCAAGTGAATTAAAAATCTGATGAACAGAATAAACTAGTGAATATAATAGAATCAGGGGCATAGAATGGGAGTGGATTGATAATTCTCGGGGGGGGGATGTCTGTGTGGGGGGTATGGGAAGAGACTGGACAGAAATCGTATACCTATGGATGAGGACAATGGGAGGGGAGGTAAGGGCAGAGGGTGGGTGGGAGCTGGGTGGAGGGGAGCTATGGGGGGGAGGGGAAAAGAAAAAATTATAATAATCTGAACAATGAAGATTTATTAAATTTTAAAAATTAAATTAAAAAAAAAAAGTGGTTGCCCATGAGTAGAAAAGATGGACTAGGGGTTGGTGAAGAAGGGTGCTGGAGAACTTCCTTGGGTGATGAAAATGTTCTGTATTTTCACAAGGTTGGTGGTTACAAACTAGTATGTGTCAAAATGGACTGAACATACATAAAATAGGTACTTTAAAAAAAATTTTTTAACTTATATTCATCAGCAGTCATCTGGCAACTTTTTCATTTCTTCCTCTAATAATGCAATTGGTCATACATCATATATCTATAATAATACTATTCTAGATTATGTATCGATAGTACAGTAATATTCTTCTAGCTTTGGTCTGACTTCTTACCTTGTTAACTTCTGGTGTCAGGATTTCTATTTTTCTTAAACGCTGAAAAGCATCATAATCAGTTTCTCCAAATAGTCTGATTGGTTCTCCTCTTTCTCTTAATCTTCTGATAACCTATTTTTTTTAAATCAAAAGATAGTAGTAATTCCTTATATTATTAGTAATGGTGACCAAACACTTATTTTGAAATGCCAGTTGGAAAAGTTACTTTTTTCAACTTTTTTTTTTCAGAAAAAAAAAAATTTACTTTTTCTTTAGTTTTCCATGAAAAAAAAATACCGAGTCATTGTCACACCTTAAACAGTCCTAAGGGGTTAGGATTTTTGGCTGGTTCAATAAAGTAACAATCTGTATAATCGAATACATAAGAAAAATATTAAGATGGTAGCAAGTGATAATATTCAGATAGAGAAGGAAAATAAAGTTTGGAGTCAGTTGATAACTCAGCTGATGACCACAGCTAATGTCAGCATTGCAATACTATTTTTGAACCAAACCCTGTCCCTTTGGAGAGAAAGTGGGTATGATCAGGACGGGGCACATGCGGGGCTATTGAGGGGCTGATAATACTACTCTATTTGTTGACTTAGATGATAGTTATACAGGTGTTTAATAACTATACATTATATTAAACATATGTGTGATATAACATGATATATATGCTATAGTTAATAAAAAGGAAAAACAAAGATTATAATTAATATATTTATCCAAATAAAAAATAAATACCAAGAACTTTACCTGGGAACACACTTAGAAACCACTGGTAGGGCTCCCAATGGATTAACTGAAGCTTGATATTAAAAAGAAACTTAAGAGTTCATGTACTGCTTTCTCTAATCAATGCAGAATTAGCCCCCAAAATCAACTGTCAGGTCACTGTCTGACAAATGACAGGAATCATATCTTTTCATGAAACAACCCACCCTATTTCTGGATACGTTTTGCTTCTCAAAATAAACTAAAATCTACCCCTCTTAAACTTCTACCCATTTATTTTAGCTCTACTTTATGGAACCACAGAGAATACTTAATTCCTTTTCAAAATTAAAGCTGTGGTCAATAAACTCTTTTAAAAGTATTTAGGTTAATTATTTAAAAATACCTTCCTCTAATTTTCACATGACAGTTTCCAGAGTTAGCCATCCTTTTCTCTGAGTTTCCTTTGTTCAAAGTTCACTTTTGTTTTGTACCTTCTGAATAGTCTGAATTCTTTATATCACATAAATATCCTTAAAAATATTTTTAAAGAAAATAATAATTGATCTTGACTAGGGTATGGGCAAACACTATGGGAGTATAAACTGGTATAACTGAGACAAAGCACTCTTATGTATCAAAAGTCTTAGAAATGTACATACACTCCAGATATCATACTTCTAAAAGATTTTACAAAGAAAATAATCGTACATTATTATACATGCAATCATGTTTATAGAAGGATATTCCTCTTAGTATGATTCATAAGAGGGAAATGCAAAAGTAATCTAAATGACCATTAATAAAGAATTGGCTTTAAAAATATGGGAAAGTATATGGTCATAAAAAATTATACATAGGTATATTTTGGCCTAGAAAGAGATATTAAAAGAAAGTAAGTTATAAAATAGTACATTAGTTAAAATAATTTAAGTATAAATATTTAGAATATATACATTTAAAATAGTGTTTAGCCCTAACCAGTTTTGCTCAGTGGGTAGAGCACCAGCCTGCAGATTGAAGGGTCCCAGGTTCGATTCTGGCCAAGGGCACATACACGGGTGGTGGACTCGATTCCCTCCAGTCCACAGCAGGGGGTATGCATGAGGCAGCTAATCAATGATTCTCTCTCATGATTGATATTCTGTCTCTCCCTCTCCCTTTCTCTTTTAAATCAATTAAAATATGTTTTAAAAATACAGTGTTTAGTTTTTAAAGTTTAGAATGATAGATACTTTAAAAAGTTTAACATAATAGTATCAAGAAAAGCAGAGGTAATTTGCTAGTAGAACTCCATGAAGAAAACTGGCTACCTGCACAGTAACTGAGTTCAGTAGGTCATTTTATATGGGAAATAATGATAAACTATTAGGTAGAACTAAAGATAAATGAAAATGTTGTACAGAGTTTTTCGTTGTGTGTTTTTTGTGTGTTTTTTTTTCATGAAACTCTATATAGAAACTTACCTCTTGCCTAGAAAGGGTCATTGGTAATTTTTCCTCTGCTAGTTCAAGTTCTAATACTGGATTCGATGAAGTTAATGGTGTCTGGTCATCCTCTTTTGGCTGTATCTATATTAACAGGGGGAAAAAATTAGCTTTTAAAATATAGTTAAAATTTATCATTCTTTTAGATTAGCTGTTCAAGACAGTTAAACATGTTTTAAATATTGAAGGTCTTCTAAATGTTCCTCTGAGGAAAGAGCTCATAATAAATATCCAGCTTTTAAGAGTTTACTAGTATCAAACTTTTCAATTTCAGGGACAGCACACATAGAAAGCATGCACATCGGAGACAGCATTTTTGCTACAGAAAAGTGATATTAAGTGTAAAAGCCGTAAAACAGCTGAAACTTAGACTCACTTTCTCCTTCGACCCTAAAAAAAATTTTTTTTCTCCCTTAAAACAATCAACCTGCTTCTCCTCCTTGAGAAAATCATCCTACAAGGTTGCCTGATTCTTGCCCTGGGGTTAAAATGAAAATCAATAGAAAGGAACTGCTTTCTAACAGAAACCTATAAAGCGTCAAAAGCCAGCTTTTTCCTACCCTACTTTGGAAAGGTATTATTCCAAGTGCACAGAAATCACTGTTGGATATATAGAAAAATTTCCAATGCTGCACAGAACTTTTCCAGAAAACTGAGCTACAAACCTTCTGAGAAAATAATGAAAAACAGCACCTCACTACTCATACCACACAAAGAAAAGAGTGAACATTCTTGTTGATATGAACCTGCAGGGAAAAAAATCTCTTCATATATTTTCTTGAGTCTGCCGCCCAAGTCACAGTTTGGGAAAACTGAATTCAGCAATTTATAAGCCCATTGTGTGGTCTGTAAAAAGATATTGAAACATCGTTTCCCAACTGATCATAAGACAAATCTAAAATGCCAAAAGAAGATTAAAAACACACACAAAAGAAGATCAACTTTAAGGAAAAATTCAAAGGCTAAATGGTTAAAACTATATAACTTATGATTCTATAGTTTATGATTAACAGTAAAGTTTATCAGTATTAAAGACTGTAACAGAAAATTGAGATAAAAACTAAACTTTCATATTTTCACAAACCAAATCAGCATCAAGCCTTAAAAAAAATGGGAACTGGTTTCTATAAAGGAATGAAAATAATACATGCAATATTTTCATTATTAACAAGAAAAAAATACTAAAAATGTTTAAGAAAGAACCTGTGCTTTACTTTTAAGCACAAAAATGAGTTATTTATCAAAAAATCTTAGGATGAAAAGTAGTTTTAATTAAAGAATGCAGCTGAATTCAACATTACAAGCAGTACCTTTACAGTAATTATTTTGCTTCAGTGCTTTTCTCTGTGTAAGCAAGGAAGTACTGCACTATCACTGAAGCAATCTAAGCAAAGCAAAACTGCCACCACTGTTTTAAATTCTTTTCCTACCTTATCAAAAAGCTGAAAGGTTGAAATTTGTGGATCTTGGAAAACAACAAGTCAGCAGACTATACCCAGGGAAGTAATTCTTATTCCAAATCAAGTTGGAGTTAGACAATATGAGGGCAAGCAAAAGATGAGAATTCTTTCTGAATATATATCCAATGGTTACTAACACAAAACATTATTTTAATTTCCTAAATTAGAAGCAAATGAAATCAATATATTCATGGAAAATATCAAAATACCAATATAAATTTTCATATTTTAAAAACCTATTAGAAATATAATTACATTTTAAAACTTGACCTCTCCCCAATACTACAAAATAAAACCAAATGCACATACATACCATTTGCATTATTCATGGGTCCCTCTAGAAATGCTATGTCAGATAAATTAATTTCCAGAACTTTTAACATGACATGCACAAGAGTATTCTTTTATATTGGTGTTTCACAAGCAAAAAGTTGATTTCAAATTTATGATTTAGCAAAACAGAGCCTTCTGAAATTTGGCTTAAAAATTATTAAACTAGATATAGTCTTTTTTAAAAAATTTAAACATAACTTCACTCATAACCTTTAACCCCTCCCAATAAAAAACCTGAATGTTATTCAACTAGGTAATCTCATAGATAATTTCAGTCATGCTTTTAAAATGTATAGTCTTCCAGACAACTCATTTGTTTCGAACAAATATTTCAATATTACATTTTCTATGTAATAGACTGAGCAGTGTTTGAAATGTGATTCCTTATTACACAAAAGCATGTAAACGTTATACGGCATTATACTTCAGGCAGAGGAGCTTAGGACAAAAGGAATTATTAACAATGTAAACCTATAACTGGTTTAAAATATTCAGGAGAAAGCAGGGAAAATACCATTGCTAATACCATTGTTATTATATGAATAAAATATTTTTAGCCCTTTAAAATTGGACTTTTATTGGGAGAGGTGGAATGAGGGAGTGGTGAGGAGATGAAAATGAGGCAGCATCAGATCCAGGATTAAATTAAAAAAAAAGAAAAAAAAGAAAAGAAAAGAAAATCAAGCTTTGATCTCAAGCCACTTCATGCTGTCCACAGAAGGCCAAACCATTCCAAGCCAAAAGTCATGCATGTATTTTTTTGAATTCAAGATAAAAAAAATAAACAAAAACAAAAATTCATACCTCTCCAGATGGCTTCTCATTTATAGGCTAATGTATAACATTGATAAATTGAACAGAGATCAATAATGTTGTCACTTTAACAACAGCTGAATAAATTTAAACTCAGAAATAAGACAATGTAATATAAAAGCAGGGATTCATACCTTGTAGCCACATCTTTCATAATATGCTTCCTCTTCTTTTTTTGTAAGTTCACTACGCTTGAAATATTTTTTATTTTCCTATCAAAGAAGAAGTGAGTTAGTAATATATAATATATCCTTGCATGAAATTTAATGTCCCCTAATCAACAACCTGAAAACACTCTTCAGTTTTTTCAAGAAATGGTAAAGGTTTTTGGTTGCATTGAAATTACATTGATTTTCTGAACACACCACCTGTCCTCAATCTCTAGTCGAAATCTGAAGTACATATTTTTCTTGCAGTATCATTTTAACAGGCATATCCAATAGCAAAAGGAAGAAAACAACGATCTTTCCCAAATGTTCACACTTTTTATTTCACTTCCCAATATTTGAGTTCAGTGATAATCTCTACAAATGTATTTATTATGAACCACATAAAATAGAACGCTTTACTTTTTTTCTATCAGAAGTAACCAAAAAGAAATTATGGTATCTATAACTAACATCTTACATCTCATTTCCAAGAGAGCTCCAAGAGTGTGTCCAAATTCTTTTCATCATCTAAAAACCCTACTGTATCAATTAACTGTATTTTATTAAGTCTTAAAATTGAATTAACCAACTCTTAAAATAATCTAGGCATAGAATGGTTTTAGAGCCTTTTTATTTAAAGACAGTTTAAAGGCATTTGTTTTAATATGATTTGATGTCAAAAGAGACAAGCTCTAAATCTATTATAATGGTGGGGGGGAAAAACATTAGTTCTTTCTATACTATAGTACTATATATAAAACTATCCTTGATGTTAAACCTACAGTCACTAATTTGGAGGCTTGTTACTATCTACAGCTCTTATTCCATTGATGACTTGGCTCAAAGATGCTGTCTTGCCTTGGTCAGTGAGGTTTAGTTGGTTGAGTGCTGACCCATGCACCACAGGATGGCGGGTTCAATTCCAATTCAGGGCACATTCCCAGGTTGCAGGTTTGAACCCCAGTTAGGAGGCAGTCAATCGATATTTCTCTCTCACACTGATGTTTCTCTCTCTCTTCCTCTCTCTCTAAAATCAATAAAACTGTTTCTGTAAAAACTACTGTCCTACTTTATTAGTAGTAATTATAATACTACCTCAGGTATTTAGCACCTCATAATCCACAGCTCATTCACTCAGGCAATGACCATAATGGAGATGCTAAGACAACTACAAGAAAGGCTGATGGTGAACAATGGGAAGATCAGGCTGCCAATATTAAACCCACTGATCAGTTTGACATTTAGAAAACATTATGCACCTCCCTATATATAGAAAGTATACAGCACCACAGCGTTTTAAAAAAAACTCTTTATTGTTTAAAATATTACATATCTCTCTTTTCCCCCATTGACCTCTCTCCGCCCACTCCACGCCCCCCCCCCCCACCCCCAAGCACAGGCCCTCATCCCTCTACTGTTTGTGTCCATTGGTTGTGCTTATATGCATGCATACAAGACCTTGGTTGATCTCTTACCCCCTCTCCCACTCTATTCTGCCCTCCCTTTAAAGTTTGGTGGTCTGTTCAATGCTTCTGTGTCTCTGGATCTCTTTTTATTCATCAGTTTATGTTGTTTATCATATTCCACAAATGAGATGATGTGATATTTGTCTTTATCTGACTGGCTTATTTCACTTAGCATAATGCTCTCCAGGTTCACCCATGCTGTTGCAAATGGTAAGAATTCCTTCTTCTTACAGCAGCATAGTATTCATTACGTAGATGAACCACAGTTTTTTAATCCACTTATCTGCTCGGGGGCACTTAGGCTGTTTCAAAGACTTAGCTATTGTAAATTGTGCTGCTATGAGCATATGAGTGCATATGTCCTTTCTGATTGGTGTTTCTGATACCTTGGGATATATTCCTACAAGTGGGATTACTGAGTCAAATGGGAGTTCCATTTTTAATTTTTTGCAGAAACTCCACACTGTTCTCCACAGTGGCTGCACAAGCAATTACCTCATAGTAGCTACATCAGACAGAATGTTTTAGAAGAGGTGACAGGCGGCTCAGGAGGCTTATCTTAGGAGCTTCTGCAGTTTAACAAAGGGGCAGTCACAAGATGTTTATTATTTCAACTGTCAGACTAACAATAAAAAGCTAGGACATCACTTGAAATGATCAAGAATACAGGTGTTTTCCAGCTAAAGATAGGGCAATGAAAACAATTCAGTGATCTCCAATCAGCATTTTCTTAAAAATGAAACAGAATGGATTAAATAAAACAAATTATAGAATCACATGTAGTTAAGGTAAGAAGTATCTCATGAAACCTATTTCATATATATCAGAACAAAATATAAAAAAATACGTATCTTGCCGAAACCAGTTTGGCTCAATGGTAGAGCGTCGGTCTGCAGACTGAAAGGTCCCAGGTTCGATTCCGGTCAAGGGCATGTACCTTGGTTGTGGGCACATCCCCGGTAGGGGGTGTGCAAGAGGCAGCTGGTCGATGTTTCTCTCTCATTGACAGTTCTAGCTCTCTATCTCTCTCCCTTCCTCTCTGTAAAAAATCAATAAAATATATTTTTAAAAAAATACATATCTTACTGTGGCTGGAGCAGTAAAAACGTATAAAAGTTACTGACACTATGATGCAGAAAGATAAAGGCTATAGAGTAACAATTTATATACAGTTATCAATTATACAGCTATAAATCAAAAGACTATTCCCATATACAAGAAAAGATTCTAGTTCCAAATATTCTCTTATACAGGCATGCCTTGAAGATACTGCTGGTTAGGTTCCAGAACACTGCAATAAATGAGTACTGCAATAAAGTTACTGTGTAACTTTTTTGCTGGTGGAGGGTCTTCGCCCTACATTGTAAAAAATGCAACATTTGCTGGGAGCAATAATGTGAAGCACAATAAAATGAGGTATGCTTGTATTATTCAAGAGCACTCACTTACCTGATTCTGCATATATACACATTATAAACCTGGTGGGAAGAGTTCAGCTTTTTGTGATTCAATTTTCCCTCTAAAGTATTAATACTTAAATTTCAACATCCTGACTTTCCTAACATCAACTATGCATCCCAACATCTAAATTATTTTTTCAAATACTCTCAAATCATTTATATGGGGGGGGGGGGGTGAACGGGTCCTGAAGATATTTAATTACAAATATGGTCAAACTTTCCCCCTCTATCTACTAAATATATTCTATGTTGCTAAGTATTTTTAAAGTTTCATTGATTATGAAATCAGCCATCCACCAAACAATTCCAACTTATATTAGATTATATAAATATTACATTACATTACATCCAAGGACCTAGCAGATATTCTCCAAGTGTGGTCCTCAGACCCTGAGATTCTGAAGATCCTTTGAGAGAGTCTGTGAAGTCAACTCTTTTCAATACTAAGGTACTGTTTCCCTGTTCCCTCCGTGGTCATGTGTACTGAGGGTGAAAGGCAATGGTAAGTCTCCTGGTGTCTTGGCAAGTATTCCTAAAGGACCTCTCATTTATAGGGACGGATGATGGTTGTCTGATGAGAAAGCACTTGCGTGATTAAACTGCAAGCTAAACCAGCTGCTTTTATCATGGAATATCATTTTCACAGGAAAGAATATCTATAAACTATAGTAATTCAGACTTAACTTCCAAAAAAGTGAACAAAGTGAACCTGCCACTTCTGGGAAACAACTGATAGTATTTGCTGCCTATGATAAAATTCCAACTTTCAAGTGGAAAAAAACACACAAAAAAACCCTAAAATTGTGGCGGTCTTAGACCTGCCGTCATGAGCTTGTCGGTGTTCCAATAATTAAAGAAATTTCTCGTGATGTCCCTGTTGATATTAAGTATGTAATTTTAAAATATGGTGTAATGAAGTATATCAACATCTGGAAGATCTGCATGACTTTGAACCAATACTTTCAAATCGTCAATGAATTAATATATAAGTATCTTTAAAGCTTCTCAGCTTTAATTTCTAATACAGTAAATATCGATAAACACTTAAACAAAAGCCCTTTGGGATCCTCACTAATCTGGAAGCGTGTAAAGGGGTCCTCAAACCAAAAGCTTTGAGAACCGATTATCTAAGTTATTGTTATGCAATAATGTAAATGGAGCTCAATTTAAGGACGTTCCTAATTCTTCCTCCTCTATGTCCACTGATTCTCCAAGTTTTAGCCTCCCTTTCGGTGAAGAGCTGACCGACAGACTTTTCCTATGAGTGTTGCGGGTGGAGGTGATAGAAAATGTAACAAATAACCGGCTTTACTAGTCGGAAGGAATCTAATACTTTACAAAGCTAATTCTGAGGCTGCCCTTTCTCTGGGTTTCAGTTGGGCACAAACCCTCAGTAAAACCATACAGGTGAAGGACCAGAAGAACTGGGGCGGAATTCCGAAGAATACCGACAGGTGGGCGTGCGTATAAGGCACTGGGAACCTGCGCGGGAATAAGGGGCAAATGTGTGTGTGTGGGGGGTGGGGGTGGGGGGGGTGGGGGGGGTTGTTTGCCAAAATCTTGGGTTTTCCTGCCACTCCCCCACTTTCTCCGGAGGCTGCCGAGTCAGGAGTGTAGGGGAGAAGCAGGGCAGGAAGGGGGGACGGGGGAGTAACCCTCTCAGTTCCAGCCTGACTCCCGGCTCCCCCCTGGCCGCCCCCCTACACCCGGCGCCACGACCCCCCCTGCTCACCACCAACAGGTTCCTGTCCTCCACCAGCTGCCGCTTCCGCAGGATCTCCGACTTCAGGATGTCCATGTCGCTGCCCGGTTTAAGCCCGAGGTCCTCTCTCCGGCTCCTCCGGCCAAGCCTCCCCCGGCCGGGCGCAGCGGGTACGCGGAAACCGCAGCCCAAACACTGGAGCCTACACTGACAGGAGCCGCTTCCGGCGGAAGCTGAGGTGAGCGACGGGCGGAGAGAGAGCGCCCAGGGCGCCCGTTGCTGACAGAGCCGCTGTGCAGGAGCGGCCCCTAGCGGCACCATCGGGCAGCGCGCCTGCAGTGGTCACCGTACAAATGAATATGAAGGAGTCTTCTGAATGGTGGGGAGGTCTACCTTACCAGCTTCATTTTAACGATGACATTATACCTGTTAATTCAGGCCCCAAAACCTCCTAGCAATAGACCCCGATTATGTTAAATAACACCATATCCTTATTTATTATACCAGAGGTTCACATCAGAGTTTCTGAAGTTGCTGCTTGCCAAAATCAATGTACTAGTGAGTGAGCAAAAATCTGAACACTATTTCCAGCTCATTAATTAATCTATCTAAAAAAAAAAATGTAAATGTTCGTTTGTGCAAAATCTTAAATCTCTGAAAGTTCTTCACCGATTGCTTTGAAATTTTGACACAACAGCCGAAACCGGTTTGGCTCAGTGAAATTTTGACACAACGTTGCACTCGAATACTCGCGTGTTTTTATATAGCTTATATCTATAGATGTCACACATGTGACAGGTAAAAACATACTTTTTTGAAGAAAAAAAAAACACACCGCCATCTGTTGGAAGTAAAAGCAACACACGCTATACTAAATATTTTACGATTCCATTTCAATGTATCCGATTTACGATCCATTTATGATTTCCAAATTTTCAATTTTACGATTCCATTTCAGTGTTGATGATTGAAGATTTGTGCTTAGAAATCGCGAACAAAGTTCTCAGTCAATTAGGAATGCCATCACTGAATTGATCTGCTGCTGCTTAGTTCGATGTAGAATTGCGTTGTGAACAAAATTACAACATAGATGATTTTTTTGTCATATGTGCAATCAAATATTCCTAAGCTAACACTTGAGCAAAAAGGCATTTACAATCCAATAATGCAAACTGTCAATAACAGGGCTGGAGAAATCTTCTTCTTAGATGCGCCAGGTAAAACATTCCTAGTAGATTGATTCTGGCAGCATTTCAATCCCACAATGACATAGCCTTAGCTCTTGTGTCATCCGGAATAGCTGTGACATTGCTACCAGGTGGAAGAATTGCTCCTTCCGCTTTGAAATTGCCATTGAACATGCAATTCATGGAAACTCCCATGTGTAACATTTCCAAAGCATCCGGCATGACAAAAGTATTGCAGAAATGCAAACTTACTGTTTGAGATGAGTGCACAAAAAAATCGCTCAAGGCTTCTGATCAATCATTGCAAGATTTGCATGGAAACATCAGACCATTTGGGAATGCATTAATATTGCTTACAGGAGATTTCAGGCAAACTTTACCTTTATTCCTCTATCGACACCAGCGGACGAAATAAATGCTTGCCTGAAATACTCTACTTTGTGGCGACACATAAAGACGTTATAATTAACTACAAATATGCGTGTCCAGCTGCAAAATGATCAATCAGCTGAGATATTCTCCCATCAAATGCTGGAAATTGGGAACAGAAAGGTGCCGGTTAATCTGACCTCAGCACGAATTTCATTGCCTCATAACTTCTGCAATTTAGTGACGTCAAAAGAATTGGTTGAAAAAGTAGTTCCCAATATTCAAATCAATTATAAGAATCAGGATTGCTGAGTGAATAAGCTATTCTTTTGGCCAAGAACAAAAACGTCTATGAACTTCACAATATTATTCAATCTAACGTTCTAAGCGAGGCAGTCACATACAAGTCCGTCGACACTGTTGTGGAAGCAGATGAAGCGGTTAATTATCCAACAGAATTTTTGAATTCACTCGATCTGCCAAGGATGCCACCGCACATACTGCAATCGAAAATCGGCGTGCCAATTATTATGTTGTGAAATATCAACAAGGCAAAGCTTTGCAAGGGCACGTGGCTTGCAGTACAAAAATTAATGAGCAACATCCTAGAAGCAACAATCTTGACACGACCTTTCAAAGGTAAAGGTGTTCTCATTTCTCGCATTCCTATGATTCCAACTGATATGCCATTTCAATTTAAGAGATTGCAATTCCCCATTCGATTGGCGTTTGCAATCACCATCAACAAAACTCAGGGCCAATCTTTAGAATTGGCTGTTTAGATCTAGAGTGGATTGCTTCTCACATGGACAATTATATGTTGCATGTTCTAGAGTCAGCAAACCAATCTCTATATCTGCACAGACAATGGAACAACAAAAAGTATTGTATACCCACAAGCATTGTGAAATTAAACATATTAGAAACGTGAACTTTCTCCTTTCTTTCTTTTCCATTTAACCAGACTGAGCCACAGCAACGTGTGGCCGGGTACAGCTAGTATAAAATAAACAGGTGGTGTTCATTGCTAGCCTGTTAAATTCCATCTAAAGTTAACCAATTACATCCATTGAAATCTTTTTCAGAAGTAAATTGTCTTTCCCATCCACCTACCTCACAGGAATACTGTGAAAAATCATAGGATGACAGATGTGAGAGCAAGTTCTGAACTAGGAAGTGTAGCCCTCCCGTAAAGTCTGATCATAATGATCCTTATCCTCTGTCGTGGCTCACATCACCCCTCCCACCTGCAGTCTTCTCCAACCCTCTCCCCATAACCCTCTCAAATCTCTCTCTAGTTCAAGAAGCTCTCCACCAGACCCTGAACTGGATCCTTCCCTTCCAATTCCGCTTTTGCTTCTTGCTCTTGTCCTCTTTGCCTCCATGCCAGCGATTTTCATCTCCTGGCACACATAAACTAATTGCTAAAACCCTGCAGCACACCAAAAATGTACTTTGCTAGTATGACAAAGAAAAAGGTATAATTTTGATTCATTCACACCAGATGGCTATTGTTATATTGGCTGTTGTCATTTTTAAAAATTTGACAATCCAAGGGAAAATATACCAGTGCCCCTGACTAAATAGGCAGGTACTGCTTGTTCTAAAAATTCTTGTGGCACCTTGGTTGAAAAGCATTGCTCCATATTCCTACACTATACTTGTCATTGTTCTTATCTGGTTTCCAAGCATCACATTTGAAAGACTCTAGAGCAGAGGTTCTCAACCTTCCTAATGCTGTGACCCTTTAGTACAGTTCCTCATGTTGTGGTAACCCCCAACCATAAGATTATTTTTGTTGCTACTTCATAACTATAAGCGGTTCTCAACTTGTGGATCATGAGAACCACTGCTGTAGAGTCTCACTGACTGAAGCAAATAAGGGTTGATAGGCTGATAATGATTAATCTTAAATGCTAGGCTAAGAAAAAAATTAAACTGATAATTTAAAAATATAACAACATAATTACTAGAATTTTCTGCAAATGTAAATAAACTTCTTTTTTACTTACTGAGACCTCATAAGTAAATTCTATAAGTTAGAATATGTGAGAATATTTTATCCTCACTCTAATTACAACTGTATAATAATAAATATTCTATTTTAGTAATTAACCTCTATACTTTTCTAAAAATATATTTTTATTGATTTCAGAGAGAGGAAGGGAGAATGGGAAAGAGATATAAATATCAATGCTGAGAGGGAATCATTGATTGGATACCTCTTGGCACCAGTAAAGTGCCCTGACCAGGAATCAAACCGTGACCTCCTGGTTCATGGATCAATACTCAATAATGATGCACTTTAGCTATCAGAAGCACATAAGAAATGTAAATATATATGTATGTATTTTAAGGAAACAGGATTAATATATTTTTAAATACATCACCTAAACTATATGCCTAAACATGTGATTATTGACCTAATATGAATAATGTATTACTCAAGAGTTATGAACAGTGACTTTGTTGTATTGAGTAACATTATATTATTATTAATATATTGTTTTAGACATTTGTTTAAAATTCTAAAAAAAAAAAAAAGATGATGTAGTATCATAACACTAGGTGGTGATAACTGATTTTAGAAATTAAAGTGTTAAAATATTTCTAACATGTATTTTTTGAACTACAAAAACCATTTAGTGCTGCTTACATTTCAGAAGAAAAGGAGGGAAATTTTTACAAGGCTGTACAGTACCATTTCTACTCATGTGGGCTGCTCACCCCACTCCATCCTTTTCCTTTGAATGCTATAATCCAATCATTCTCAAATTTGTTGCTCTCATGCCCTTTACACTCTTAAAAATTTTTGAGTATCCCAAGAACTTTCCTTAATGTAGGTCATAAGCAAATAATGATCAATGTTTTTCTTGTTAGAATTTAAGATTGAGAAATTTAAGAAAATGTATTGACTCATTTTAAAATAACAATAATATACCCAATGCTTGTTAATATAAATATTTTTATAAGAAAATAACTATTTGACAAAACAGAACATGAGTAAGAAGAATTACTTTGTTTTAAATCCCTTTTAATATTTGGATTATTAGTATATAGCTGGATCCTCATATTTATTTATAGATTCAATCTGTTGAAATATAACATATCAGCCCTGGCCAGTGTGGCTTAGGACACATGTTGGCGTTTCAGGCTTGATCTAAAGTAGGGGACCTGCAGGAGGCAGCCCATCAATGTGTCAACCTCTTCCTGTCACTTCCTCTTTCTGAAATCAATTAAAATATATTTAAAATTTTTACTGGGAAAAAGTACAAATAAGCAAAAAATATAAATGTAGAACTGCTGTAACCTTACCTATCAGGCCATATTGGCAGACAACCCTTTTATACTTTATCTGCATATCCTATATAATAAAACCCTGATATGTAAATTGACTGAACGGCAGAATGACTGGTCACTATGATGCACACTGACCGTCAGGGGGCAGACGCTCAACACAGGAGCTGCCCCCTGGTGGTCAATGCACTCCCATAGGAGTGCTGCTCAGTCAGAAGCCGGGCTTATGGCTGGCTAGTGCAGTGGCAGTGGCAGGAGCCTCTCTGGCCTCCGCTGCAGGCGAGTAGTAGAACTAAGGAGCAAGTGGTCCCAGAATGTGAGAGCCCTGGACTATGAGAGGGATGTCTGACTGCCGGCCTAAGCTGGCAGGC